CGTAGGCCTGAAAGAACTATGAGATTGAGTTTGTGGCAATTCCATTCAAAAATCTGCCCCACCCCCTTTACTGTGGACTGTGCAAAAATTGGCCATGTAGGGGCTTCGTCTTTGACTGGCCAGTCCGCCATATTGGATATCCATCACTGGCCATATTTTAGAGATAATAGGAATAAACAGCATTTTTCCGCATTGTACTCTTAAATATGCTAGATTGGCATCTTAGGACCACTCTGGAACCAAAAACTTTCTTCATAATTCCTAAGTAAACCATCGGAAAAAATTGGCCATTTATCAAAAATTGGCCATGTATAGGCTGTATTGACTGGCCAGTAACACAGTTAGGCATGGAAATACCATTATGTTGGAATTTTGGATATATTTAGAGATCTGAAGGCACTATGTGATTGAGTTTGTGCCAATTCCATCCAAAAATCTGCCTCACCCCCATTACTGTGGACTGTGCAAAAATTGGCCATGTAGGGGCTTCGTCTTTGACTGGCCAGTCCGCCATATTGGATAATCGTCACTGGCCATATTTGAGAAATTATAGGAATAAAGGGCATTTCTCCCTATTGTACACCTAAATATGTTAGATTGGCATCTCAGGACCTCAATGGCACCAACAATTGCATTTATAATTCCAAAGGAGACCATTGAAAAAATTGGTCATTCTTCATTATCCATATTGGCTATCCGTCACTGGCGAAAGAAATGTTGAAAACTATGTAATGATTCTATTCATTACACGACTTTTTAGAGGCTTTATTTGAATAATAAAATGAATTACAAATTTTTCGTTTTTTGATTTAATTACAACAATTACAATCAATCCAAAAAATTAGTGTATCCATCGGCCACAAAAATTGGCCGACCACTGAAGTAATGACGAAGTGTCAATTGACATTGCCTGTTGCTTTCGATCAAGGGAGACAACTTGTACACAGGTCGATTGTCAAATTTTTAATTTTGTCGAGTTAGTTTGTCGATCAAGTTGGCAACAGCCTTAAATGTGTTAATGTAACATTACAAACAAAATCTTTATGATCATACAACGGTTTTGTAAATGTTAAAGATAGAAAGACAGTGTTATGAATGATATTATTTTGATGTGGTCCGACAAAAAAATGCGCTCTTCAATAGTGAGGTAAAATTACATGTACACGTTGAAACTTCCGGTATAAACATTCAAGCATATCATACTGAACAAGCATACACTCTATTATTTATTTATCTCTGTTATTTTCTTAAATATAAACCTACTTTGAAAACGGTTACCTCACAATAAATCAATGGCTGTAAGTGTTTTATTTTTTTGATCAACGTATCAAGGTCAATTTTCAGTAGATAATGTCAGCAAGTGAAACCAGTCCACTCCAAACTAAAGGAACTTCATTATTTCAAGTTCAATAATTTCATAAAAAGTTAATTTTTGTTATTTAATTGCCTTCTCCCTCAGTGCTTGCCTGATCTTTATCTTTATCTATATACGATGAATGGTTGCGATAGGGATATCAGTTTTAAACTCATTTTAGACTGCTAGAGTAAACTTACGGGATACACAATAAATTATGTCAAAAATCTAATAATAAGTTTTTGTAAGTTCAGACTATACCATCATATACCCATTGTGACTGTTGCACAGTTGTCAATTACTGTTACTTCACAGATAGCGTTAATGAAGGTAAACACTTGTAGACCTATGCTAAGACCTACTGTCTGAGCAAAGTAAAAAGATTTTTGAATTTTATCTATTATTTTTATGAGAATTGGAATTTCAGCCTCGAGATAGTACTGTTAGTCTTAAAGTGTCTTTGCACTGATCAAATAAAATTTATTGTAATTTTACAATGAAAAGAAGCACATTTCTCTGCTAGAAATTTCAACCCAAAACGTTCCAAATTTTAGCTGAAATCGCAAAGACATTTTAAGACTAACTGATATTCCAATTACCATAAAAATAAGAGAAAAAACTCCAAAATTTTTTTTTACTTTGCTCTGATAATAGAGTGACATTTCAAAATCTACTACAAATTACTTTATTTTCAGGATTCTCAGCCACAGGAGCCAAAGGATGATGGAGGAGGTACTGGAAAAAGTCCAGGGGGCTCAAAGGTTGGTTTACAAAGTTTAATTTCTTTACAAAATTTTGTACTTTATAGATTTATCCTTAAAAACAGATCAAAAGTGTAGAAATCAGTTTTGGTTGATACTATGTTTTATATTTAATTTTCAGCTTGATTCTTTGCCTAAAGAAGATTTATTAAAATTTGTTAAAAAACAGATGATAATATTACAAAAAACCAGGTTAAAATGTGAAGGTAATTATTTATGTTGTTTTTGTTTAGTTTTAATTGATAAATTTTTCTAATTACTGGTATCTTCTTTACCAACTGATATCAGTTTCACTTTCCAAAAATAAAATCTGATGTCCTCATCTAATGCAATTTAACAAAGTGTAAGTTTAGACTATTGCCACTTCTCACATATAGTTATTTCAGAACTAATTTCACAACTAATTTTTAAACTTCCTTGTTGTGCTTTAGTTAAATTTGTAAGGTATATTTTTTTACTAGAATTGACTAAAAAGATCACCGAGGTTGAATCTGCAAAGAAAGATACAAAATCAGAAGATGACTCATCTAAGAGAATTAAGGTATGTTTTATGTGGCCTCAAAGAGATAGAAGTTTTTTGAAATGCTTTTAATTATAAAACCATGTGTTCATTGAAAGAATTTTTTGAAGGTTGAAGGTATTTTGTTATTAAAACTATAATTAATGAAACTTTCCTTTTCTTTTGTTAAATATGTGAACACTGAAAGCCTCTTTTTTCTTCACAAATCATATGCTGATGTGTTAGATCTCATTTGATTACTATTGAGATAGAAAATAATATTCTATTATTCCTATTTATTATCTAGCATGAATACTTTGTTCTGTACAGGAATTAGAAGAAGAATTAAAAGACAGTGAAGAAGGTAGACAAGAAGCATTAGAAGCTTACAATGCTGTCCAACAATCACAAGAATCAGCTGCTGTACAACTTCAGGTACATACTAGATTCAAGATATATTTTAAATGGCTTTCTTAATATTTAATAGGGGATTGATATTTTTATAAAGTTATCTGTCAGTGTAAGTATGAACATTGAATGTTTTTGACTGTGATTTATTTATTTATAGTATTTTGATGTAAATAACTACCTACAAGTTTATCAAATTATGCATTATGAAAAGGATTAGTAAACACTAAACTGGCTTTGTTTACTGTATATTTTACTTATTTATGGATAGTATATTTAGATTCATCTATGAAATGAATATGATATTGTTTTTTTATTGCATAAGATATGAATGTACTGTCATTGATATTCATGACTTCATTTTTTCAGAAATTACAAGAAGAAATTGAAAATGTTAAGAAAGAAAAAGAACTGATATGTGATAAGTTTGTTAAATTTGAGAAAAAGAATAAAGTAAGCCTAATTCTAACAAATTTATATGAAATCAAGATATGAAGTAATTTTTGCAAAATAGCTTTGGTGTCATTTAGATATATATATTGGATTGTATTATGACCGTTATTATCTCTAGCCATTAAAAAATATTGGATGGGTTGTTAAGTGAGTTATACCACTAGTCTTACAGTTGAGGGTTTGATCTGTGCATATGTCTAAATGATATTTTGGGATTCTTCGTCCAGGTTCATCCCTTTCAGTTAAGCTGGTCACAGGAACTGACATGGAAAAAGCATCCAGTTGTACGAATGAGACAGTAACCCAAGGCCCCGTATGTGACAGACTGTACATTAAAGATCCATTAGCACTAAGAAATTAAAATGGAATAAGCTTATGCTGCTGGTCTGGCAAATTTTATCTCGTTACACACTGTATGGCCTTACATTTCCTGGTTAGTCCAATCTGTAGGAGTAAAGTAAGACATGAAATTTGAATTAAGTAATTAGATTTTGACTTGTGGATCATCAAACTTTTTGAAATTTTAGGAATTTCTAGAAGAAATAGAATGTTTACAAATGAAAAATGAAACTTTAACATCCACATTACAATGTATGCAAGAAGAACAACAGTCTTTTTCAAAATCTAATAAGGTTTGTAATTTTTAAGATGAACTATGAAGCTCCCTATTATTTAAATTGTGCCACTAAATTCAACATTCTGCTATGTACAAGCATTTTCTTCCCATATGCGTTTTGTTTAGTGTTAAATTTGTTGATTAGTTTGGCTGTATATTAGACTGTAATATGCTAAAAGATGAATAGATATCCAATTATTTTCTCTTTGGCCATTTATCCAGTTTTCTATGATCTTATTCTGATAGAGGTCACTAGTTTTGACTATTTTTGTCTAATTTGCTATTTTTTTATCTCAGAAATTGGAAGAAGAAGTAAAGACATTAACAGAAGAAAGGAATAATCTAGCTGATCAAATAGATAGTCAACATGATAGCCAGATACAGTCTGATCAACAACTAGAATATGATACAAAAATATCTCAACTAACACAACAATTACAGGTTAGTGGCCATTAGTGGTAGACTGTCTGACATTATGACTCATGACTGATATCAAGAAACATAATGATATTATGACAAGTTACTGATATATGACTGATATCACAACACATGACTCATTACACTATACATGACTGATATCACTATACATGACTGAAGTCCTTGTACATTTCTGATACAACGTAACAGTATGAAGCTCATTGGTGGTTTATTGTAATTAAAAGGTAATATTGCAATTAGGGAAAGACTTAAACTGTTGTCTGTCTTTGATATTTCAACATCATTTAGAATATTACTTTATTTTCCAGGAGTATGAAAAGAAACAGATGTCAGAAACAGAAGAAAAAACTAAAGTAGCAGAAGATAAAAATATTCTAGAGCAGGAAAATGTAGATTTGAAAGAAAAATTACAGAAATTGGAATCAGAAGTGGTTTCTCTACAAGAGGTTTTAGAAGATAAAGATAAGAAATTATATAAATTATCTGAAAATGAATCTCAAATGAAGGAACTGTCTGAAAAGTTGGACAGTTTGAATTCAGAATTGACAAGCAAAGAGGAAGTTATCAAGGAAATGTCGGGTGAAAAATATGAAGCGCAAATACAAATATCTGAATTTCAAGCCAAGTGCCTTAACTATGAATCTGAATTAGAAAGATTGGAATCAGTGGTCAGTGAGAAAGATGAATATATTAATAATTTGAAACAGACAAATTCTGAGGCGTCAGATCTGAATGCTAAAATTGAAAGTCTGCAAACAGAACTTACAACTACTAAAGACAATTTATTGACTATGACTAAAGATGATGAAGAATTGGTTTCCATAAAGAATGTTCTGGAGGAAGAATTACAGCAACTGAAAGAAGAGCTGGAGGTTTTGAAAAAGTCAGTCCAAGAAAAAGATGATCACATTTCTGATTTGACAAACAAGATAGAAGAAGATAAGTCTATAAGTGCAGAAAATTTTACCAAAACTGAAGAAGACAGTTCAAATGTGATGAAATTGGAGTCTGAGTTGGAAAGGTTACGAGAAGAATGTGCTGACGTGACACAAAGGAGTTCCAAGCAGAATGAAATGAATTTGAGTTTGATAAAGCAGGTTGAACAAATGGCTACAGAGTTGTCAGAAAACAAGTCACAAACTGTAGCTGTACAGATTCAATTTCAAGAACTCTTTGAAGAGACCGAAAAGCAAGAACAGATCATTCAAGATATTGGTTCTGAAAAATCTGCTATAGAGATGAAATTGCAGGAAATGTTTGAAGAAATTGAGCACAGGAAAGAAACAGAGCAAAAATTACGAGAAAATATCTCAGAGCTGAAATCAGTTGGTGATGTCATATTGCAAAAGATGGAGGATGGCCCAGATGTCAGTGCCAAAAATACTCAAACAGAAATATCACTGGAACATTGTGAGTCTCAAACTGAACAGGTACTGGAAAATCCACCATCTGCATCAGAAGCTGCTGAAAATGATACTCAAGAAAAGGTTGTAGAAGAATCAATGGAGAGATCAAATGCTGTTGGTCTACAAGCTGGAATGAATGAAGAAAATGTAACCAATTCTGCTTCAGACAACAAAAATTATGAAGCAGAAGTGAAAGAATTGCTAACTGAAAGAGAAGAAATGGAACAAGAACTACTAGCTACCAAACAAAGACTAGCAGAATGGGATGATCTGATGCACATGATGAAAGATGAGAAGGAACAGCTGGCAGAAGAATTAGAAGAAGTTGAAATCCGTGAACAAAACTGTAAGAAGGAAATGGAGTTCCTCATGTTGTCACTACAAGAAGCTCTGAGTGAAAGAGACAGTTTAAAAGATGAAGTGTTTAAAATGCAAGATGGTGATGACAGTGTGGTTCATGATATGAAAACTGCTGTAAAAGAAATCATTGAGGATAGAAACAGACTGCAGTCGGAACTTGATGCTGCTTACATGAATAAAGGAGATGAAGCTGTCAGGATTGAAGGCTTCAGAAGGGAAAAGGAGGAAGCCATTGCTGAGAAGGAAACCCTTGAAAGAGAAAAGGAATCTTTAACTGTCATAAATGAATTAGCTGTTGAGAAAGAAAAACAGCTGCAGCAACAGATTGAAGATCTTCAGTTCCAATTTGAGGAAGATGAAGTAAAAATATCATGTCTTGAAAAGGAGCTCCTAGAGGCTAAGGAAGAAATTTCTTCAAAAGAGAATGAAATATTGCAGCTGAATTCTAAGATTGAAGGAATGGAAAGTTCTGTAACAGGTGCAGTAGAAACTGTCAAAGAAAGACAAGCCTATGTTATTGAGATGGAAAGCCAGATATTGGAACTATCTAATTCTTTGACAGATTCCAAGAAAAAATATGAAGAGGTCAAAGAACAGCTTGGCCTTGCTAATTCTGACAATTCCGAAAGGGCTGATTATTGCCAGAAGATTGAAGAACTGCAAAACTCCAACACAGAATTTACTAACCAAATCAGAACACTGAAAAATGAATGTTCTCAGGCTAAAGATGAGAAAGAGGCAATTGAAGCAGAAAAATTCAAGATGGCTGAAGAAATCCAAACTCTAAACGGTGAATTGAATCAATTGAAGGCTGAGAAAGAAAGGAAAGACAAAGAGTTTGAATCTAATATCCAAATTGTTGATCAGATGCAAGAACAACTGACTGTCTTGACACAAAATGTTGATGATTATGAGACTGAAAAAAGCAAATTAGAAAAAACTGTAGAAGATAGAACTCAACAACTGTTGGCTGTTGAGGAAGCTATGAAAATAGTCCAGGAAGAACGAGCAACTGTTGAGAAGGAAATGTCTGAGAAGCTGGAAAAAGTAGGATTAGAGTTCCAGGAATTGGAAGAAAAATTCCAGAAATCTCAAACTGAAAAAGAAGTTGCTGAACATGAAGAAATTAATCTGTTGAAAGAACAAGTTGGCAAATTGCAAGAAGAAAAACTGCAAGCAGAAGATAAGTATATTTCTGTACAAGAAGAACTGACCAAAAATGTTCACGAATTAGAAGAATTCAGAAACCATAACAAAGAACAAAATTTACAAATGTCTTCTTTGATACAGGAAAAGGAAGCCATTTTGTCTGAAAGTTCCAACACACTACATACCGTTTCTGCAAATGAAAATGTCATTGCAGAGCTGAAACATGATATTACTCAAAAATCTGAAGAAATTCTGAAATTACAAGAAGAAAATGCTGGGTTGAATGATAAGTTGTCACTTCTGCAAGAAGATCATCAGAAACTGAATGATCAACAGACAGCAGTTTTAAGAGATCTGGAAACCATGACAACAGAGAATGAAAACTCTTCTGCCAGATTTGAATCTTTGGAACAAGGTGCAGAAATACTGGGCAAGAAAATTACAGAATTGAAAGACAATCTAGAAAGAGTAGAAAAAGAAAGAGATGAGGCATTAGATGGTTTAAAAAAGAGGGACCTTGAAACCACAGAATTGGATAGTAAATATTCAGAAGCTGTTCAAGCTTTGGCTGAAAAGGAGGAAACATTAAAAGAATTGGCCTTAAACTCCTCTGAAAAAGAAAGTAATCTTGTTCAAATTCTGGAAGAAGGAAAGTTGCAATTGGAGAATGAATTGAAGAGCTCTGAAAACATGATAATGGATCTTAAAGACAAATGCAATGAGAAGGACAAAACATTAGAAAAACTTAATAATGAAATTCAAGAATTAAGAGAAAAACTTTCAGAATCTGATGAAAAGAATGGTATAGATTCAAATAGAATTCAAGATCTTAGTGATAAAGTTGTGGAACTAGAAGAATCACTCCAGTCTTTGAATGAAGAGAAACAACAACTTTCTATTCAACTACATGAAATCCAAACAAAAACTACTGAACAAACACAACAAGCCAGTGTAAGTGTTTTTTTTCTGTTACCACTGTTTTGTATATTTACACATATGTTGCATTTTCATCTTTGTTTACATGCAATTCAAGGTAAAATCCATATTATTCTTGTCACATTTCTTTTAATGGATGTGAAATAGTTATGTATATATGTGCTAGTTTTATTAGGTGAAAATTTATCATTTTCAAATGCTGTTGTTATGGATTTTTGTAAAATTTTTGAAATTGATGTTTTATATTTTCAGCAATCTATGAATAGTGAAGTGGAAAATTTCAAAGTAATCCTGAAAGAAAAAGAAGAATTATGTGTCAAATTGAAACAACTTGCTATCAAGTCTAAAAAAGAAACTACTGATACCAAAGCAAAGGTATGATTATGTCTGATTGGCAAAAAGCCATGTATGGTATTGGTATACAGCACTGAACTTATTAAGATTGATGATGACTTGTGTGTAAAAAGCGTTTTTTTCCCTTGTTTGAATAATAAACTCAACTTTTATTTTATATTGTTTCAGCTGACCTCGATGAATGAAGAATTTTCTAATTTACAAAAAGTGAAATTAGAATTAGAAGAAAAGATCTCACAGTTACAAACTCAGGTAGAAGAAACTAATCAGGTAATGATCTAATTTTTCACTCTTTTGATAATAGGTGTTGTGTGATACCCACAGGTAAAAGATAGAGCTACTTTTCTTCCAGTGTTATCTCCTACCATTTCCAGAGTTTTGGATCTGCATTTTAATCTTATTTCCATCCCCATCATGAGCATCTTCACAATGCCAAGCTATTACAAGTTTCATCTTATACCTTGACTGAAATAGACAGTCCTTGACAGAAAGAATGTAAACATAATGACTTAGTGTAATTCTGTCGAGGTCTCTGATCAATGATTAGCCATATTCACTAGCATACAATCCAATCAAATCACTGCATTTGTCAATTTTGTGACACTAGAAAGATGGCTATTGCAGTCAAGGTATAAAACGAAGTTTGTAATAGCTTGACATTGTGAAGATGCCTACTGAGAGTCCTATAACTTCTGCATTATATATTGTAGAACCAGGAAGCAAGTCAGTGTAATGTTGATGCAGAAATGAAGAGGATGGTAGACAAAGTGAATCAGTCTGAAGTTGACATGATGAAAATGTTAGATCAGTTAACAGAGTCCAGACAACAGTTAGCAGAAGTGAAAATAGAAAATGAAAATTTACATAAAGAAGTGGAAGCACTATCATCTGATCTAAAGGTAAAGACTTAATTACTCAAATCTAGCTTGACTTTAGTTATTTTGATATACTGAATTGAAATAGAGTTTATTTTGGCCATTCCATAGGGTTACTCTGCTAAAATTCCAGCAGTAAAGGGATCTGTAACTTTGACATTTTTTAGCCCGTTGAGCCTTGTTTTGCCAATATTTCAAAGTAAAACAATCATGGTTATAATTAGTGTATGACTTTTGTCGGTACTTTACTATTTTGTTGTTTTGTAGAGTAAAGTAAGTGCCATTGAAGAAAGCTCAAACAAAATAAAAGAACTAAAAGCTACAGAATCAGCATTAAGCATTCAATTAACTGAAGTAAAGAAAGAAAAACAACAGGTAAATGAATGATTTGGTATTTGATTCTTAAGCTGCACTACTGAAATTTAATTTCATATGCTTCCTGAGATGCAATCAAATTTTCAATCTTCTTGTGTCCCATTGTCATGCATTAGATTCTTTTTTCTATTGCTATGGTTTTAGGTTGAGAATAAACTGGTGGAAGAAAAAACAATTCATGAAAAGAAGGTAGTTGCCATGGAAACAGAAATAAAAGAATTGAAAGATAATCTTGCATCAGCTAATAAGGTTTGTACATGTATATAAGGTGATATCTTATCAGAGCCAAACTTGTAACATTTTGAATGACACACTGGATGAAAAATGGTTTGGGTCATACAAACATAGTTTTTGTTTAAGTAATGTGAACTTCTCAGGGCTGTAATTAACATATGTTTGACTATAACAGTGGATTTTTGTCATTTAACTATTCAATCAATTATTATTTAGTAAATGTACTACTTTATAGAATGCTAGTCACAGTAATATGATGGATTTAGAAATAGCTGACTATGAGAGAACAGTTCAGACCTTAAATAGTAAAGTTGAAGAGAAAGATAGTAAGATAGTAGAACTCACAAATGAAATAGAGAGATTAGAAGAACGAATTAAAACATTCCAAGAACAAATTGGTAAGTTTCAGAATATCTGGAGATTTATTACAACAAAAAATCCAAGATCAGCCTGTTAATGTTAATGATCATGGTTAATGTTCACCATCTTATAAATAGTTACCAACAATTTCAGTCATTTCGCTAACTTACGAAAAATTCTCCATTTTGTATAGAATGGGGCATATCTTATCGCGATTCACTGATATATCATACCAGTGCTAATCGGCATTGTCCCAATGATTCTTTCAGACGTTGTATTTTGTATGTATATATTTGTAGAAAGTGTGGATGAACAGAGGCTACAATCAGATGACAGAGGAAATAAATTAAAACAGTTATTAGTTAAAACTAAAAAAGAGTTAGCTGATGCAAAGAAACTTGTAAGTTGTTTGCAATCATAGTTTAATTCAAATGAAGCTCAAGATAATGTTGTGCCTTATACTTGAATCTTCTTAGGATCGTAAGTCATTTATAAGAAAGGCATGTTTACAAAATCAACCAATCAAAAGAAGCTTGGGGATTTTTATTATTTAAAAGTGACGTTAAAGGTATGCCCGCTTCTACCGATAAGCTCAGTAGGTTCGCATCAATTATTAGGTCACTGAGATCAACTGTTCAAACTTTGTTTCAGGAAGGATGTCACAGGAATTAGAATAATTAATAGTTTACTTTATATTTAATCTTGTAAGAAATTTATATTCTATTCTAGATCAAAACAATATTTAGCAAAAGTATATTTTTTAGGAATCTGAACAGAGGTCATTTGATGCCCAGTTAAAAGGTCAAATGGAACATGTTAATCAGGTTGTTGAAGATCAGAAGGTAAAGTAAACTATGTACAACTGATTATTTAAAGTTGACGACTTACCTGGTGTCATAACTATACAACTGAATCCCTGTATAATCCAATATATTCATTAAACTAAATAATTTTGAATCACGCTTAGAAGAAAGTAAGAAAGAAATTCTGAGCCAATGTAATGAAAATATTTTCATTATTCTGTTGTTATGTAATCATTTAATTTGAAAAGAGATAATTTTATTTGTAAAGTAATCATTTAATTTGAAAAGAGATAATTTTATTTGTAAAGTAATCATTTAATTTGAAAAGTAATCATTTTATTTGTAAAGTAATCATTTAATTTGAAAAGAGATAATTTTATTTGTAAAGGAAACATTTAATTTGAAAAGTGATAATTTTATTTGTAAAGTAATCATTTAATTTGAAAAGGGATAATTTTATTTGTAAAGCAAACATTTAATTTGAAAAGAGATAATTTTATTTGTAAAGTAATCATTTAATTTGAAAAGTAATAATTTTATTTGTAAAGTAATCATTTAATTTGAAAAGTAATAATTTTATTTATAAAGTAATCATTTAATTTGAAAAGTGATAATTTTATTTGTAAAGTAATCATTTAATTTGTAAAGTAATCATTTAATTTGAAAAGTGATAATTTTATTTGTAAAGTAATCATTTAATTTGAAAAGGGATAATTTTATTTGTAAAGGAAACATTTAATTTGAAAAGAGATAATCTTATTTGTAAAGTAATCATTTAATTTGAAAAGTAATAATTTTATTTGTAAAGTAATCATTTAATTTGAAAAGTGATAATTTTATTTGTAAAGTAATCATTTAATTTGAAAAGAGATAATTTTATTTGTAAAGTAAACATTTAATTTGAAAAGTAATAATTTTATTTGTAAAGTAATCATTTAATTTGAAAAGTAATAATTTTATTTGTAAAGTAAACATTTAATTTGAAAAGTGATAATTTTATTTGTAAAGTAAACATTTAATTTGAAAAGTGATAATTTTATTTGTAAAGTAATCATTTAATTTGAAAAGATGATAATTTTATTTGTAAAGTAATCATTTAATTGAAAAGTAA